CATTGTGGACATAGGCCTTAAGAGTCGATTTAGGCGATTTTTAGCGATTGGCGACTCGGCGTCATGAAGGACGCTTTTACACCTGAAAATAGCCGTTCAATATTCGATAGAAAAAAGTTCATGTTATTAAAATAAATTTTCCTCCTGGATATCTTTAGCGTGTAACCGCAGGTGTAAAGGCATTCACGACGCCGAGTGTACACTCTGGTACACTTTGGTACGTGTACCAGTCGCCAAAAATCGTCTTTTGTTGACGTAGTATTTTACAATAAATTTTAGGCGATCTTAAATATTAAATATTCACGATATCGCCCATATTTTCAAGTAACAGTAATATTTCATAATTCTTCGTACACTTTCTCATTAATTTTGTTCTGTTTTTAACTCGTGGTCTTTTAATCTCTTTTCACCACTTGTTAATTCGTGTAGAAGTAATTATTTATTATTATTATTTTACTTCACTTTGATTACATTTTTGCCAATTTACGAGCGTTCGCAACAACGCATTGTACTTTTGTAAGCTTGAATTTTGTCGTACATTTTCGCGAATACTATATTTGAATAAAAATAATTTTATCGAATCATACCTTTCTGTCGCCATTACTTTCTACCTGCGTCTCGTCGATTCTTGCGTATTTCCGATCGACGTTCGTCTCCATGGAAACCGGAAAAGTGGAGTCTGTTTGAGTGAGTGCTCGTCCGCACGTTTAACCTCACGTATCTCGTCGCACGAAGGTTGTGTACAAACATCGCAGGCGCGAAAACATCAACGTCGTTTTCACAGAGTGTCGAGTATATCGTGAAAATTCGATAAGAGTGGCACGCGTAATTTATTACGATGATCAGAACATCGACACTTATTTTACTTTTGATAAACTTTTACGCCGCACATTGCCAGGATGTTGACATCGACAAGGAAGGCTACGTCGTTTACTGCCCTTGCATGGGTAAGATCTCGACTTTTGTCATGCCGTACGGCATCGTTCGGCACGACGATAACAAAACTTTGCGACTCTCGCTGCAGGGCGCTTCGGTAATCAGGCGGATCACTTTCTGGGGGTCCTGGGCTTCGCCCAGGCACTGAATCGCACTCTGGTGCTACCGCCGTGGGTCGAGTATCGCACGGGAGAGACGAGATCTGTGAGCGCAGGACTTGCATGTGACATTACCTTTACGTGACGAAATTCCAACGCTCGATTCTACTTCTAGGTGCAAGTACCGTTTGATACCTACTTCAACGTTTCCCAAGTGCAGAGCTGCCACAAGGCGATATTGATGGAGGACTTTATGAGGGACGTCGCGCCAACGATATGGCCGCCCGAGAAAAGAATATGTAAGCCCCGACGTCGATTCTCTTGAGGGGATACGAGAGCGTCGACGTTAATCATTTTGAAAGCGAGATAAACTCCCTTCGTCCTTCCTCAGCTTTCTGCTACGAGGCCCGCGTGGGCAGCAACGGAATGTCCTGCAACGCGAAGCAGGGGAATCCGTTCGGGCCCTTCTGGGACACGTACAACATAGACTTCGTCAAGTCGGAGTTTTACAAGCCGCTCCATCATCACGATGTGTTTTATACCCGCGCGAGGCTCCAGCAGTGGCTGAAGGTGTATCCCGGCGAGACTTGGCCGGTGCTGGCGTTCACGGGCGCGCCAGCCAGTTTCCCGGTCCAGCCCATGAACAAGCCCCTGCAGAAGTGCGTTAACTGGAACGACGACATGTTGAAGAAGGCGAATGCGTTTATAAAGGGAAAATTGCCGAGGGCCGCGTTCGTCGGCATACATCTGCGAAATGGAATCGATTGGGTATGTGACGCTCGCTGCGGGCACTTTTGTACGGATGACACGCCGCTAGGATCCTCTGGAGAATAATGGGTCTATCTGTTTCTTGCGTCTGGTTTTCAGGAACGCGCCTGCGAACACATACCGTCCGCGCCGGATCTTTTCGCCGCTCCCCAGTGCCTTGGTTACCAGAACGAACGTGGCAAGGCAACTCCCTCGATGTGCCTGCCGTCGTTCGAGACGATAATAACTCAACTGAAGCGCGTTATCCGCAACGGCAAAGACATTAAGTCTGTGTTTGTGGCGTCTGACAACGATCACATGTTGGGCAGGTTCGAAGAAGCCTTGTCGCAAATGAAGGTGAGCTTGTATGCATTTATCCAGGGTTGGGAAGTAACTCGTTACTCGTAACGGAGTTACAGCTACTTTTTTTTTTGGTAACTCTAACTTGACTTCGTTACTTTCTCTCCATCTGTAACTGTAACTTGACTCAATTACATTTCTTCGATAACTAGTAGCTAATTTGCTAGTTACATTATATATTTTTTAAACCTTCACAGATCGCATTAGGTCTTGCATTTGCGCATAAACGCCTTTGTCGACACTTTACAATTCAAATGCAGATTTGATATCTTTATTTTCACTGTAAGAAAGTAACTGCATAGTAACGTTACTTTTTGAGTAACTGCAAGCAGATACTTTTATAAAGTAACTTTCCCAATGTATTTATCATATCGTTGATGAGCATTAATGTCGTCGTTTCCACGTAGATATCAGTATTTCGGCAGGAGCCGCCGGTATCCGCGCATTTGGACCTGGCGATTCTCGGAAGGTCTAATTATTTCATAGGCAACTGCATCTCTTCCTTCACCGCTTTCGTGGCCAGAGAAAGAGAGGTCAGGGGATACCCGACATTCTTCTGGGGTTACCCTCCCAAAACCAGAACGGAACTGTGATATTACATTTTGTAACACAATACCTGTCTAAAGTGCATAATCGTCAGTTTTTTGACCTTTTTTTTATATTTATATGCTTGTTAATCAACCGCCGACGAGATTAACGTATATTTATTGTGAGAAAATACAATTTTGTGACATGTACAGAGCGCGGACTGACAATAAGAAACGAAATATTTCACCAAATATTTCGGATCTTCGGTATATATTTCGCAATAAAAAGTTTGTATGAAACAAATCCTCGTGACTCGAGCATTTCCACTGACGCTTGGCGTCATACACAATATAAAAATATCCGTCTCGGCGCTTATCCGTCCTCCAATAGAATTACTAAGTTCCCGCACGTTATTCACTCGCTACGTCTCGCATGTCGCACAGTGTCTGCTGCAAAACGTGAGCGAAGTCCCTCGTGTTGGTTTCGCCGCACGATTTGAACGACGAACAGGCGAACAGAATGTCCTTCGGTCGTGGATTGTAGCAGCAGCCGTAACCGTCGGGAACGACTGGTCCGTAGCACATGAAAGACGCTGACTTATACGGCACCTTTGAATCACAGAGGTACGATTATTATCGATTAGCGGCCAATGCACTTCTCGTTGGAATATTTCCGCGCTTCAGTTTCACCGAGGCATTTCTTTGAGCCAGCAACTTTGAATTACCTGACTTGACGTTAGATTGAAATATGTACTTCTGGTGTAGCCAACATCCTTGTACAATTCCGGGAGCTCCATTCCTTCGCTTCTCGCTATCATTTTTAAGCCGAACAAGTGCCGATCGACGCCTTGACCGGTCGCGGCCTACGCAAAGGGAAACGTTAATTCCGAAGCTTGCGTGTCGAAAGATAACGATTAATGGATTAAATCTGCGTTCAGCAGAAAAAGCTGTCTTGCAATCTGATTGCTCTTAATTTTGGCTGAATCCAAGAGTCCAATCGGATTCACGAATTTTACACCAGATGCAAAGCAACAAAGCTTTTCCCGCTGAACGCATTATGTTTCAAGTAAACGAATGCCTCACTTGCGCGGCGAATGTTTTATGAGCATCTATTGCTCTGACCAGCATCTCCTTCTTTTGCTGCTTGCTCTTGCATTCCCCGGGAAGCATTGCTTTCGCAAATTCAACGGATTCGGTGCTAGTAGATCTGATGCACTCGGTTCTGGCGTTTATAAATCTACGTAACGCCGCGCTTTCGTAATGAGCTGGCGCCTTCCTTTGTACGTTATAGAACGTCACTTGCATCGCGATCTGGATAAAACTGTCGGGACTCAGTTTGATCGCTTTTATAGCGTCCGCGCCGAATTTGTCGAATGTAAAACATTCCATGTCTATGTCGGCCGAGAGTCTAAAGAATCACAGATATTGTGTATTTTCAAATACCAGCCGTACTTCAGGTACAATCGTAAAGATGCAATAGACGTACTTATCTACCGCGTCAGTGGCTACGTCGATCGCGCAGTCTATAACGTCGTTAGTTTCGAACTTCACAAGTTCCGGCCTCGGGAAATCCGCGGATCTTCCGTCCCTTGCGCTATTTTCTCTTGCCGCTCTGCAAGCAGATCCGAATTTTTTAATTCGTGGCCCGTCAAAGAGAGCGGCTTAGCAATTGTTATTTAATTATTTACATATATTTTAATACATAATCGTGGAGAACGGCAACCGGAACTCCCTCGCATGGACTGTGCTCGTATTCCATGCCGATATAACCGTCCGCGGATACTATGTACTGTAAAAGCATGTTTCCTCGTTTGTCTCGGCATCAAAAGATATCGTGTCAAGTATTTTGTCTATTTGAAACAGTTTCACAAGCGGGATTTATTTGTAATGGATATTGGTCAGACATTTCACCTGCACAGTCTTATCGTGCCACCTGTTACCAGCGTTTACGCCGCTACTGTAGCCCGTCATAGTTTGAACCGCTCTGACCGAGGCGTTATTCTTCTCCTTAAAAGCGTCCTTAGGCATGTCCTTATCGAGGCACAGTATAAACAAAGAGGTTTCTATATCCTTGATTATATTCCTATTGTTACCTAGTTCTGAAAATACAATTTTAGCTGAATTACAATTGGAAATCGTACAGAGAAAAAAACAGTGTGTGCAGCTCGAAAAGACGGAACGCAAATCGTGCGCGAAAGGACAGGGTGCGAGGAACGAAAAGGAAAGATAAACTGAAATTAAACCTAGAAGTAAGCTGTAGTCCTTCGCCCACGTGTCTCTGTCATTCCCAGTTAAAATTCCTACGGGCTTGCCTTGGGTGCACGAGCGATCTGCGATATCTTTTATGGCAGCCACGAGCTTGCCCTCGCTTAAAATGCCGTTTTTATCGACAACGCAAAGTTTAAAGAACTGTAATGTAGACAGAATGTATCCAGCTGCGTCGTTTCATCGGGCCGATTATACTCACATTGTTATTGCTTATGATTATTATGTGCCTGGCCTCGTCCGTGTGCAGCAGCTTGTCGACTACTTGGTTGGGCTGCCTGTGCGTGCCGAGTATCATGCCGTAGGGCTGCATGTCGAGCGGCTCATGGCAAGCCATCTCCTGCTTCATCTTTTCACTGCGGTGTCATTGCGGATGAGTGCATCGCGAGGAACCCCGACTAATTAAAGGCAACGGGCACACGATACTACTTTTCCTACTGGATTACTCACGAGAACCGATAAGGCTGGAGAGTTTTAGATCAGGTGACGTAAAGCTGAATCCCGAGGGTCAATTCTGTATCTTACACTATAGTGAAAACGCTAAAAGTGAGTGGCTTGGTCTCCTTTTTCTAACTGTCCCCTTAGAAAGGGACAAAGCCGATCACTTTTAGCGTTTTCACTATATCGTAAAATACAAAATCGACCCTCAAATTAGTTCTCGTACGCAATCCAGTGGGGAAAATAGTATCGTGTGCCGTTGGCTCAACTGCGGCCAAGACTCACCTCTTGACCATCTCATTGTAATTGCACACCGCGGCGACGAGGCGCGCCGCGTACACATAAACGTCATCCGGGCGGTGGAAAGTGACCGGCGGCCCGACGGTTCCGGGACTCGAGTGCACGATCACGGGCAAACGGTATCCCAAGTATGCGGCCTCCAGCCACCATTGTTTCATCTGAAATAAGTGGACGCGAATTTCTATCACCCGCCCAACTGATACGCGAGAACGATGTGGAGATAAGTACCCAGTTATCAGTGCTTTGATATCTCTCCAATAATTTAGCGTGTAGCTGAGGTCCCGCGCCCGTCCGGCCTACAAATTCACCGACGATCCTCTCCGTATTTTTATACTCGTTGTCGGTCAGCAGCGGCTTTAGGGATCTACAATGAAATTGCGAGTAACGAGATATTGGAAGGTAACACAGGCGCGCGGGCATCTCGTACCTCAAGTAACGTTCCGCAGTTTGCTTGAGATCGGGAACCGGCTGCTTCGGGATCGGCTGCTTGTTCAGGTTCAACGTCGTTATAGACGTTGCCCCTCCGAGAACGGACGGTGTCTTATGCAAGCCATTGTGGACCTGTTGATTCGATCAGTTTTAGAGAGCTCCTCTTTCCGCGAGGGGTACACGCGCGCACCTACCGTGTACTTCGACACGTTGGAGAGTACTCGGTACATAGCTGGTTTCTCCGGGGAATACGTGCCTGATCCCGCTGAGCCGCTAGAGAACAGAAAGTAACGGGTATTACAAACATTTCGGAGACGGGCGACATATCGCAGATAACAAACGCGTTATCGCGTGGCAAGTGTCCAATGGAGCTCACTGTCGATCGAGATGTGTCTCACACTCCGAGTGTCAAGGGTTTCAAGAGTATCTCAGCAGTCATGTGTCACGTCCAGACGTGCACGCACATACCCACACACGCACACACACACTTGTACACACGTGGCTCGTCTAAATCAGTGCAGGCGCGAGGGTAAGTGATCCGCGCGCGATGATAGCCGACATCAAAAGGTGCATTGCTATAAATTGTCACCAATTATGTCATGGACATTGGACCGGCCAATTACAACGATTGAGATACGCTCGTGGGTTGCGGCGCGAGGGTAGTTGCGTGGGACACGGAGAGCGTATTCAAGATTGTTTTAACTAATGTATACGTACGCGTCCATATGGCGAGAGTCCTGGTGCCAAGTAGAAGGAACGAATGTCGAATCGGACCGGTCGAGACTGGCTGGTCAAAGCTCGACTCGCGGCAGGAAGCAGGAATACGGACTCTGTTCCGCGACTCTCTTATCTTTGCATGTATGTGTAAAGTGTTTATGTAGGAGTATATAGATTCCGCCAGTCGTGCGCGATAAGAGAAGGAAAAAAAAGACTTTCAAAGTGCCGGGCGACCATTGGCGATTTAAAGCAGTCATAAATATTTATGAGACCGAAACCGGTTTGCTGTATCATATTAATTTGCTTCCCAAGGAGAACAGAAAAGTCAAAATAATGTCAATTTGACATCAAATTGATCAAATTTACGTCATACTTTTTTATATTATACATTTTTATAATAATAAGCATTTATACAGTCAAGAAACACATTTTCTAAATATTAGGAAAAAAAATTTTTTTAAGAAGTCAATATAAAGTCATTTTTAAGTAATCTGAAATTAAGATTTTTAATCATGACCAAAAAATGACGTAAATTTGGTCAATTTGATGTCAAATTGACATTATTTTGACTTTTCTGTTCTCCTTGGGTTAAATCGGCCGCGCGATTGTCGCATGAGCCAAATGTGCTTTACTTCCGCATTTGATAAAATGTTGTAACAAGAAATTATTCGACAAACAAATGTGTCGTGTATAAAATACGAAAAGAAAAAAAGAAGTCGATTTGCAGAAATCGATTGCGCGAATGTTAGTTTATTACCGCGAATTTTGACGAATCTAATTGTAGGACTCACAGTTTAATTGTGCTTGGAAATTTCTTCGTATATTGTGCATATTTATCTGTTGAATAATTTCTTATTAAAATATTTCATGAAATACGAAAGTGAAGCACATTAGGCTCATTCGACAATCGCGGCTGATTTAGGGTCATCGCACACAAAATTGCATAGCTGCATAGCTGCATATGTGTAGCATAAGACCATCTGGACCAATGAGCATGTTATGTAAATCAATATGACGATTCAATGCTCGATGCTCATTGGTTTAGACGGTTCTTATGCTATGCATATGCAGCTGTGCAATTTTGTGTGCGATGATCCTAAAGCCCGTATCAGACTACAGACTGAGATTGAGATTAGATTGAAAATTGACCAATTAGAGTAAAAGTTACTAAACTTGAGATTAGTAAACTTTACTGTGATTGGTCAAATTTCAATCTAATCCCAATCTCAATCCGTAGTCTGATATGAGCTTTAGTCCCAGCCTACAATAGACGATTTATAAGCCCTAGTCTTAAGAAATTGACCAATCACGGTCAAGTATGAGTCGAATGTGCGACCAGGGGCCCCGATTCTCGAAATCATTCGAAAAAGAAACGTACACGAACATTCTGCTCCGACAGAAAAGCTGAAAATTGGTTAAAGCCACGCGAGTAGCCAATCGACTTGCAGCTTTTCTGTAAGAGCAGAATTCTCGCATACGTTTCTCCTTCGAATGAATTCAAGAATCGAGCCCCTGTACTGGCAGTGAATATCGGAGCACAGCCTCTATCTCGAACGTACTTTTGCCCACACAGAACGCTTCGTGACGCGGTAGCCAATCAATTCCGCTGTTACGGCGAGGCGGCAAGCTGATTGGCTGCCGTGTCGCACGCGTGGACCACTACGCTGTAGCGGATCAGCTGTCGCCATGACGTCACGTCACGCTGGTAACAGCCCCTTCCGCGTTCATACAGGTAAACATTGCTCAAGTCCAACAGAAAATGGGGATTCACTGATGTCGCGTTGTTCGGCCGTGACAGAATCACTTCGGCAAATGTTAGGCGCGGAGTGGCGTCGGAAGCGTGTACCGTCCTTCGCCGAGAGAATCCATGGCCTGCGCGCGAGCGTGTCCAGAGCACATTCGTAGCCGCAAAATGTAAAGAGGTTACCTAACCTTGCATTTGCAACGAGTAAACGCATCCGCGGCGGGACAGGCGATAGAAAGCTCGCGGAGCACGAGACGCGGTCGTAGATCGTGAAAAGGCCGCGTCTGTCAGCTGGGTCTCAAGTCAACGGGTCGCGAGGCGCGTCGCACGATGAACGACGTCGAGACCGCGGAGAACGATACCTTCGCATCGTACTGCGCGCTGCTGGTCGCCTTCAAGACCATGAAGGAACGCTGCCAGCAGTTGCAGACGCGGCTGGCAGTGGTGGAGGAGGAGAACATGTGTCTCAGGCTCGAGTGCGGCAGGGACGTGTCCGCGGCTGTTGTCAAGGTGGACAAGAGCGACAAGTCTGCGCAGCAGACCCTGCAGGTTCGTCAAGTCGAGTTAGATGACGAGTAACTACGAAGACCTCCATAAACCCGTAACGAAATACTTGAGGCATAGGGCGAGTTGTGATGCGTTGTCTACAATGTGTGGAGTAAGCCTGGGGTCAGGAGTAGGAATCAAGTTTGTCACTTACTCTTATTTCAGCTTTTATGCTTACTCACCGAATCAAAATGTCGTCGGCCAGTGTTAAGATATTTAAAAAATTATGCCTGTATTTTAGCTTCCTTAAGCTAACGCGTCGTCTACAATGCATGGAGTAAGCCTGGAGTAAGGTGTACTCTCGATGAATCTGAACGTCATCGGCCAGTGTTGAAATATTTTAGAAATGATGCCTGTATTTTAGTTCCCTTACACCAAACGCTGAAAGTTACGGTTCTCTTTTACTCCGTACTCCAAGCTTACTCCACGTATTATAGACGACGTTTAAAGATTATGGTTCTCTCTTACTCCTTATGCCAGGCTTGCTCCACGTATTGTAGACGGCGCGTAAGAAAATCTGTTTCTCGACAATTTGAAAGTCCAAAAGTCCAGCGGCCCTTTCTGTTAGACGATGCCGCGAGATTTGTTTCCTCTGTCCGTTTTGCTGATTTAGAGAACAATATGGTAGAAATTGTAAATATAAGAAACGTTGAACGGTGTAAGTCTTGTGTACATACCCCTTTTCTGCAATACGAAATAAAATCAGACATTCGCGAAACAGGTAATAAGGAACACGTACACACTTCTGATCGTTCACGATACTCATGTGCATTTGACGGTACGAATAATGCATTATTTTTGGATGGCAGGAAAAAGTGGAGGAACTCACAAGGCAAAAGTCTCAGCTGTCCCATCACGTTTTCATGGTGGCGGCGGAAAATCGTCAGTTATGGAACAGGCTAACGAGACTGACGAAAACTAACAAATCTTTAGGTAGCCAATTGACAAAAATTTCAGACACGCTTAAGCAGCACCCCGCCACGCAGCCGTCTGACATTATTTCGTACAACTTTCGCGAAATATCTGCCCCGGATAAACAGGGCGCTAACAAGACGTACTTGCTGGCTACGGACGGTTGGTATCGACTTGAGATTAATGTTTTTCTTTTTTTAGTCACAATTAACAACTTTCGTCGTTGCAGGTGAACGAGAGCACAGCTTGGAAGAGATATCTCTCCGGTTAATAAATAGTATCATGCTGGAGAAGTCTGATCTCGAACAGCAATGCGCCGAGGTAAAGTAGTAAAAATGTCGCGACCGTTTAACGTCCCTTATTTAATGCATATTTTACGCAGATGATGGAGTTGCATAATGGTTCCGAATTAAATTTACAAAATGTTGGTTTCACGTATCCAGAGGATTCCGACACAGATTCGCTGGAGCAGCTGAAGCAGCACGAAATTCGGTTGTCTCAGACTAAGGATGTCTTGCTTGGGCAGCAAACCAGGTTAAAAAGGGCCCTGCAGAATCTGAAAAAAATAAGAAAAGGTGAGTCTCAGTCGAGTGTAATTCAATCACTGATCTTTTTGACATTAGGAGAAAGTTCTCTAGAAATTCGTCAATTTTGTAACAAATGGTATATTTTCAGGAGCGATGTGTAATAATTGTCGAAAGAACGCGAGTAAAAAGATGTGCCAAACGGGCACGCAGTTTGATTCCGACGATAGTTTCAAAGAACACGGGGCTACTCAGACTAGTCTCATGACTCCCGGTGTGTCTATGGAAAAGTGTTCCAACTTGAACGATATGGACGTCGATATCAATACGTGCCCGATGTGCGGGATTGTTTATGAAAAGTCCATACCGTTTGCCGAGTTCCACGAACACGTCATAAACCATTTTACCAAGGAGGCTACAGAGGATTTCGAGCTTGTACATTGATTTTGTCATAAAAACCAGTGAAAGTCGTTACACACGAAATTTGCTTCAGAGATTCCAACGTGTGTAGGAACATTTAAGGTGATTGGGAATACAGAATATTGAAATAGATCAAATAACATCCGGTATAAATCAGAAGCGAGACAATATTACGTGTTGCAAAAGTATTTATTTTTATACCAATAAACGCAATCGTGAGATGAAATAGAAATATTTTCGCCACATAAAAGATCTTTACATGACAAAACACTTGTTATATAAATTTATGGAATATTTACATTCTAATAGTCTCGGTTTTGAAAAATTCCGAATATCCATCTTTACTGGTATACGTTGGTTTTCGGCTATGAAAAATTAAAATCTAATTTCAAGTACATTTTACGCAAGATGAGTAGGTTTAACATCCTTTTTGTCCGATGGCTCCTGCGTTGTTGGCTCCAATAAGTTTTGATGAAACCACGAAGGCCTTTTCTTCGGCAACTCGACTATTCTTTGGTTCTGGAATTAAATACGGATTAAATTCGTATTTATGTAAACAAAATTGAACTGCGTATGGGCAAAACGTATACTTTTAATACCTTCCAAAACTTTTCCGTTTCAGAGTTCCTTTCTCCTTCGTACAACACAATTACATCCTTCTCTACCGGGTTTAGACCCAACCCTTCCTGAATCGCGTCTTGCATTTCTTGAGTCTCAAGCTTTACTTTTTCGTAGCAATGTCCTATACGATAAACAGATATCGAGAAACCATCGTAAGTTGCTTTCGATTATTTTTACATTCAAGGAAGTAAACTTAAGTTGCTTTTTACAACTTTCTTAATCTATAATTATACTGGTGAAATGTACCGCATAAACGGCCAGCTTCGTGATGATAACCACAATTCACGCACATTAATATATTGGTTTTTGCAATAGATGGTTTCCAATTATATTTCATTACTCCGAATTTCCTCATAAGCCTTCTTTCCAAGCTACGGCGACGTTTCGGAACCGCCCACACAATGCCATTCCCAATAATGTCCTTTAGAGACTGTCTGCCGAGGTTCGTCGATTTCAATTCGCTCGGAAAACCGTGGCAGTCCGTGACCGCACATAGTGGCCCTACGATGGAAAGTTTCAAAGTTTCTTCATATTTCAATAAACGTGTTGAACGAAATTTACCCAAATTAGCTTTGCTTTTCATTTATCTATGAAATCAATTACTCCACAACTTCTTCAACCGAGGTTAGAAAATAAAAAAAACATAGATAATCACTTATTCGTATTAATTTTTCAAATTTAATTGAGAATACGTGTACATGTGTCGATTTTCAATTACCTGGAGGAAAACCGCGGCCAAAAATGGTTTGAATCGCTTGTTCAAATTTTTGAAAAACCAAACTTAACCTATTCATCGTGCCACCTACAATCTTGAGCTTAATAGGTGCACGTTCCGACAGAAGAGGTGCCTATCTGCAGTGATCTGCAG